CCCAAGGCTCCAGGATTGACCCCATGTGGACAATCAGAATTGGGGTCCCAGTTTTCGCAGAGTGGTTTCTCCTGGCGGGATGCAGCACCACAGAAATCCAGGAATCCTCATCCTGGGGTATTTAGGAAGTCAGTAGAGAAGGATATATTATTAAGAGCTGGGCTGGAGTTTGGTTTTCCTTCTCCTTCCTGCTGTCACAGCTCCCAAAAAAATCTGGCCTGCGTATTTGAAATGCCTTTGTAAGCTTCTTGTCCCGGCTTGATTCCTCAGAATCATGGAATGGTTTGGGGTTGGAAAAGACCTTAAAGCTCGTCTTGTTTCATCCTCTGTGCATGGACACACCTTCCACTTATCCAGAGTTTCTCCAAACTACATCCAACCTGGATGGACACTTCCAGGGATTCTAACTTCCGTGGACAACCTGTGCCAGGGCCTCACCATCCTCACAGGGAAGAGTTTTTTTTTCCCAATAGCTCATATAAACATTCCCTCTGCATCTAACATTTAAAAAAAAAAAAAGCAATTCCAGTATGTTTATTGTTTATTCTCTTTTTATAGACAACTGACTCACAGCAGGGCTGGTGGTTGGGAACAGGTTGTTCATGGAATTACACAGGGAATAAAACAAATGGAAGTGAGTAGGAGGAAGATCCAATCCATATCAGCACAGCCCCAGCTCTCTGCGTGTCTCAGCCAGATGGAAATTTCAGAAGGTTTATGGGGAAAAAAAGTATTTTAAAAATAATGGATTTACAGCTCCAGTGGTATTGTTCCAGTGTCCTCTCTGGAGAAGGTCCGGGATTTTGAATATGAGATTTTCAGGGATGGTCCTACTTGGTCAGGTCAAAGCCAGGCTGAGGAACACATTGACAATTAAAAAGTGTGGACAGCTGTTCCATAGCCCTTGGAATTGTGCATGGATTTTCCATCTATTATTGGTATAGATTCCATGGCAGCTCTTCTGCTGTGATTCCAGCCCCAGGGAAGCTCCAAGGGCTGTTGGATCCCCCCATTAATGCCCCCAGTTACAGGTGTAATCCTTTCTGTGACTTCATCCAGATCCAGCTGGGATTTGGGCAATACAGGAGCCCCAGCGACACCATAAAATCAGGCAATATCCATAACCAGGGATTTGGGATGGCCCTGGGGCACCATTTCCCTGCCCTGCTTAGAAGAGAGGAAGCCAAAGGGAAAATTCTCCAGATTTCAGCACCTTGGTGTATCCCAGCCCTGGGTTACCCACGCTTGGTTCCTGATCCTGAGTGTCTCTTCCCCGTGGAAGCACCCAGGAATGGGGAAAAGTGTGGGAGATTGGTAGGAGCAGCCACAAGGATCAAGTCCTTCCATGATTTGACATGCAAAACCTGTGTGGGATGAATTCCAAGCTCCTCTTGTTTTCCCTGGAATCTGAGTGCCTGTGAGGGTCTGAGGTGAGGCCGGGTCTATGTCGGGGGCATGGTGGTGACAGCTCACCTTGGTGTCCTGATTTTTACCAGGTCACAACCAAGCAGGGTGCAAAGAATGAGCCTTGCAGGATCAGCACAGAGAAATCCCTGTGGAGAAGGGATGGAAAAAGGAGGAAGGGAAAATCACTTTTCACTGTCACTGAGTTGAGGAAGGGAAGAGCTGGAGCTGTCACTCACCCAGGAGGTGCTCAACACACACAGTTCCTCTTCTCCCAGGGCCATGTGGCATACTTCATTCCTGGTAAATGGAATTTTTGGAATATTTGGCCTCTTTCTCCCTCAAAAACTCCACAAAAAATGAAGGGTGGGGAAGCAAGACTCTGCAATTGCTTCAGTGGGTTTTATTTAGGGCTGGAATATCCCTGGAGCTGAGAACCAATTCCATCTTGTAATCTCTGATGCACTGATGGACTGGGTGGGGAATGGCAGAACAGAGGGATAGATGGAATTATCTGGGAATTTTCTGAGATGCCACCTGAGAAGGGATCAGGTGTGTCACCCTCTGACCACAGGGAAGTTGAGTGGGTAAAAACTTCAGGACATATAACAGGGATAGACCCCATGAGGCCAATCTATGATGTTTGTCCTTCCTCGTCACTGGGTTTGCGTTGATACTTTTCCGAGGCCAATTTTGAGAAGAGCCCAGTATAAGGCTCCCAAAAAAATGAGCAGTTCTCTGTTCCTTGACTTCCGGTCTCTGTTCTACATCCAGACACACTCAACAGACAGAACATTCCAGAGGCCAGGCCAACAAAGCCACATTCCCGTGGCTCCAACACAGGCGTGTAGTGCAGTGTTCCAGAGCCAAGAGTAAAATCCAGGATCGAGTTCTCATCCTGAAGGATGTGATTAAAATGCCTGCGAGGGCCTGATCTCCAAGGATGAACCTGAGACAGGGAAATAAACAGTTGCTAGGAACATCCCTGGTCTGGAACAGCATCCACAACATTTAATGAATGGGCTTAATTGTTGGCACATTCCCTGGCAAGGTTCTAGGGTGGATCAACCATCATTACTCCATGGAAGACCTGGAATAAAAGAGAGGAGGTGGCGCAAAGGAAGGATTATTCCCAAGAGGCTGACATCCATCTCTTGGCCTCTGTGCTGGAGATGGTCCTGGAAAAGCTGAATTTTCTGCCACAGCTGTAGCCCATGGATACCGGGACACCTTTATTCCAGATCTTTGCCCTGACCCAGCCAAGCCTTCCGTGCTCCCATGTGTTGGCCAGCCAGGGTGGCACCACCATCCTGAGGCTCCTGAGGAAATTCCAGCCATGGCAGTGCCACACCTCACACATCATCCGAGGCTAGGATGGTAACTTCCCAAAAATCTGGCTCAGTGGGCCACCAGCAAGCCCCAAAATGGGAATTGACCCATCGTGTACTTTTGTCCATCGTCCCACTTATCCCTCAAACCGCTCCTGCCAGTGGAGCTGTGGTGGACCACTTCCCATGGCCTTGGAGATCCTCTTCTGGCTGAAAGCGAGGAGCAGATTGGAATCCTTGGACTTGGTGATTTCTCTCTGGATCTATGTCAGGCAGGAGATATTTGTGTCATCAGTCCTTGGAACTGAGGGAATAGATGTTAATCATGGAATGGTTTGGGTCAAAAGGAACCTCAAAGACCCTCTTGTTTCAACCCCCTGCCATGGGCAGTGACACTTTCCAGTATCCCAGGTTGCTCCAAGCCCCATCCCACCTGGCTTTGAACATTTCTAGGGGTGAGGAGTCCACAATCCCGATCATACTGAAGAGTTACACAATTATTTTTCCATTTTTTTTCCTCAAAAAAAACGCAAACAGTCAAAACTGGTGAAAACAGGAGGACAGAGCTTTTCCAGGGTGCTCCCACTGCTGCAGGATGCTGAGCCTTGGCTTCCCAGGCTTCCAGACTCCCCCAAAGAGTCACCTCTGATGCCATGATGAATCAGGCTGGCCAATCCTTATTCCCTGGAACAGGTCCTGCCCTTTGGTCACTGCCTTGTGACACCTGGCAGCACTGACACACCTCCTGTGACATTCCCGGGGCACGCAGTCCCCGAGCCTGGCACGGTTTCATCTCTTGGGCAAGAGATGTGGTTTATACTCTCCACACCCAGGTGTAGATCCATGGCAGAGGAATGGCTGCTGCTCCTGGGGTTATCTGGGCTGACTTCCCCATCCTGTTGATCCAGTTTTACGTCAGCGGAGTCTGTGGTGTCAGAAATCTCCAAAATATCTGGATTGAGCAAAAAAAAGCTCTCTGCAAGATTTCTCCCAGCTTTTGTTTCCTTGAAAAGGAAGATGTGGCGGGTTTTGGTGTTTCTTTGAACTTCCTCTGGCTGAGTGATCCTGGCCTTCACTGTGTTCAGTGATTGATCCCCCTGGACACTCTGAATGTCTTGGATGAGCATCTCCTCTGTTCCAGGGAATTTTGCTCATCTCACTTGGCTCCTGCCAAGAAAATCATGCTGACCCTCAATCATTTTAACCCACATCCATCTTCCACATATTTTTGGAGGCTCTGCCCCTTCTGCTTTTCCATCTCCTAAGTCCCAGGCTGTGTCAGTCTCCGCTCTCTTCTCCCACAGGATGGAGAAGGAAGGGATAAGCAGGCACCCGATTGCCCAAGCGGCTTCACTCCAAGGGGCTCCTCCTGCTTCACCCTCTCTGCTCCTTGGTGGCTTGGTGATTCATGGAGATGTCTGCTGATGGCCAGCACTAAACATCCTGATAGCTCTTTCCTTGGAAGCACAAGTGGGACAGGCAGTCAGGTGGAAGCTGAAGTTATCAGCTCCATCTCCACCCCTTTCATGCAGAGAAATTGTAAAGGCTGAGAACATTTTTGTCTGACTGGCATTGAGCAGGACTAGAAATCGGATGCCTCATGGAAAAGATATTTTTAACCCTTGCTGGAAGTGTTCAAAGCCAGGTTGGATGGGGCTTGGAGGCACCTGCAAGGTGTCCCTGTCAGGCAGGGGGTGGGAATGAGATCATCTTTAAGGTCCATTCCAGCCCAAACCATTTGATGATTTTATGATTTCAGACTTTGTAGGTAACCAAGTTATGCATTTCCCGTCCCCGTGAATATCCAGCTTGGTTTACCCTGACTGCAAATGTTGGGAGTTCTCCTAACCCTGGAAATGGACTTGTCATAATCCACCCAGACAATTCCATTAATTTATACCACTTGTTCCCATTTTCCTTGGAGAAAAGGAAATAACCTGGCCACAGATGCGATGATCAGAACAAAACCCCCACCCAAACACCAGCAGCACTGCTGACCAGAGAGGAATTAAAGGATTAATCCAAATAAATGGTGTGAATTCCCAGAGTGCTTTCACTGCTCCTTGGAATCACCAGCCCAGCCTGAAGGCAATGCCGAGGTGAGAAAACAACCCACCTGCATTCTTGGCCTCTCATCTAATCCATGATCCCTGCCCACTCTTTCCAAATTGTTGGCTTCCTCATCACTCCATCCAAAGGCAGGGAAGATTTATATCCTGTCCCCAGGTGAGGGTGTTTTTCCTGGGCTGCGGAGACGACCGGGAGAAGATGAAGTTCTCCCTCCTTGTGGTGCTGGCTTTGGTCCTATTTGCAGCTCAAGGTGAGGTTTGCTCCTAGATAAAGTACAGCTGAGTGTTTTAAAGGTAGGAATGGCTCAAATCCAGGGGAAGAAATCACGGGAGAGAGCTCCTCAGCTCTTGGAATGGACATAGGTAATGGACATAGTGCTCGTTTTGGGGGTTTTTATCTAGAATCTCCGTCTGGGTGTGTGAAAAGTTTATTTTTGGACAGGAAATTTCCCTGTCTTGCTGGATTTTTATGGAAATGAGACAGAAAAAAGGAGGCAGTTCCCACTGGTCTGCCTTTGAGAGGCTTTCCAGGGTGTTTTCCTGTCAGGGGGGTGCAAGGCTGCGGTTTTTTCTAAATTCTGAGGAAGACAGCACAATTCTCAGTGTTCCTGGCCCACGAGGGCCACACCTCCAACATCTGGCCCTGTGCAGTTGTTTCTACCCATCTCCAAGACCCCACAGCTTGCTGACTTCAGAGATTTTTGGAAAAAAATCAGGGAATTAGGGAGAAATTGGGATGTAGACTGAATTAATTAATGGTGGTGGGTATTTACATAGTAATTGTGTTATAGATGGTGCTTTTTATTTCATGGAGAGGTGGTAAATTAAATCAGAGCCTTTTTTAAGGAATATGATCCTTTATCCTCTATGGACCAGAGAGAATAAACCTTATCCTCATTTTGGAGAGCAGGACAGGCTTTGCCAGCGCTTGGAATTGTGCCACACGTCTGGTGCAGAAAAATAATTCCTTGGAATAGTTATTTCTGGCTCATTGTGGCCTAAGAATACCTTTCTGCTATTTAGCTTTGTTCACTCACCAGAACAGTGATCCTGACAGATTTCCAAGCGTTAACAAGGCCCGGGAGACAGGGAGGTTGTCCTCAGTGCCAAAATGAAGCCTGGCCTAATCCACATTGGATTATCCAGGCAGTAAAAATTAAGCATTCACTGCATGTGTCTTAGGGCTGAATTCTCACAGCAAAGAGTAAGAAATCCTTCTCCTCATCTTGTTTGTCCTTCAAACCAGGTTCTGGATTTCTTTTGGGGGGCACTGATGTCCCACCCTAAGACAAAGGCCTGGGAGCCTGACTTTTCTAAGCCATGGAGGTCCCAATTAACCCTCTTCAGCTGCCAGTGCTTTCTGCCTAATTAGTCTGCAGTTTAATAGTCCCCAGCAAGTATAAAAAGTGACCTCAGGCCTTGGGACATCCTTGGAAACTCCTCCAGGAGTCTCTGCCCTTCCCTGCTCCAAGCATCACATCGAACTTGGTGCCGTCAGCCTATCAAATTGAAGGAGGGGAAATTTAGGTTGGATATATGGGAAAAAATTCTTCCCTGTGAGGGTGGTGAGGCCCTGGCACAGGATTCCCAGAGAAGCTGTGGCTGCCCCTGGATCCCTGGAAGTGTCCAGGGCCAGGCTGGATGTGGCATTGGAAGGGTGGATTGGGTCTTTCAGCTCCATGGCTTTTATCAGACCTGCACCTTGCGTATTTGAGATTCCATGGTAAGCAGGGGATAATTTTTGCTGCTGGCATTTCACAGAATCCCAGAATCATTTAGGTTGGAAAAGACCTCCAAGATCCTCAAGTCCAACCTTTGATCACCACCAGAGCTCGGAGTGCCACGCCCAGGCATTCCTTGGATACCTCCAGGGACTCCTCCATCTCCCTGGGCAGCCCATTCCGATGCTGGACCACCCTTTCTGTGAAGAAATTCTTCCTGATGTCCAACCTGAGCCTCCCCTGGTGTAGTTTGAGACCTTTTCCTCTCGTCCTGCCCCTTGATTCCTGGGAGCAGAGCCCAGCCCACCCCTGGCTGTCCCCTCCTGTCAAGGAGTTGTGCAGAGCCAAAAGGTCCCCCCCTGAGCCTCCTTTTCTCCAGGCTGAGCCGCTTTCCCAGCTCCCTCAGGTGCTCCTGATGCTCCAGACCCTTCCCCAGCTCCATTCCCTTCTGTGGACATGCTCCAGCCCCTCAAAGCCATGAGGGGACAAACCTGGATGCAGGATTTGAGGCACAGCCTCACCAGTGCCTGGCACAGAGTGACAATCCCTGCCCTGCTCCTCCCGGCCTCACTCTGGCTGGCACAAGACGATTCCATCTCCCTCTTCCCTGTTTTGTGTCTCTTCCCGCAGCAAATGCCCTGTACTGCTACACCTGCAACTGGGAACAAAGCAACTGGAGCTGCCTGAAGGCCGAGAAGTGCTCGGAGAAGGACGAGTACTGCGTCACCAACGTGGCCTCTGTAGGAATCGGTAGGTGCTGGCTCTGGATCCCCTTACAGGGATTCAGGAATGGGAGGTGAGGTCTGGGCTGGATTTGTGGTGGGCTAAGTCGTCATTGGGAAGTGGGAGGTGGAGCCCTTCCTAACCCAGCCTGGCATTCCTGGAAGTTTGAAATCCTTCTCTCCATCACACGCTGAGATTGTCCTCTAGCTGTTGTTTTATTTCTGTGTTGAAAATCAGGGGACATTGGGAGAAGAAGGATCCTTCAGAGGAAGCATAAATAAATTTGAACCTTGATTCCTTGTTCCCTGGGAGCAGAGCCTGACCCCAGCCTTGGTTGTACAGAGCCAGAAGGTCCCCCCTGAGCCTCCTTTTCTCCAGGCTGAGCCCCTTTCCCAGCTCCCTCGGGCTCTCCTGGGGCTCCAGAGCCTTCCTCAGCTCCATTCCCTTCTCTGGACACACTCAATTTCTTTGTTGCCATGAGGGCCCAAAAACCGATCCCAAGATTTCAGGTGTGGCCTCACCAGTGACAAGAAAGGGGAAAAATCACTTCCCTGGTCCTTGGTGGTCACACTATTTCTGATCCAAGCCAGATATAGAGGGAAACAGAATTATTTCCCTCAAATGGAAAAGCCTGGAAATGCAATTTAAATCCAGGAATGAACGTTGTCATCGTACACCTAAAAAAGTTTTAGTATGAGGATCCATGCTGGGAAGTGCTGGATGCCTAGCACGGATATGAAATTCCTTGTGTAGGAGGTCACCCAAAATTCCTGGGCTGTGGGGGGACAATGGGACTCATCAACCCAAGTCCATCCTGCACAAGGATCACTCAACAAACCCCATTGCTAATCCTCTCTCTCCCTTCTCTGGGCCAGGCGTTTTGTCCCTGTGGAAGAGGATCACCAAGAAGTGCTCCAGCACCTGCCCACATCACAACTTCCTCCTGGGCCTGGTCACCTACACCTCCTACTGCTGCCAAAGCTTCCTGTGCAACCTGAGCGCGTGTCCAGGGCCCCGGCTGGCTCGCCCATGAGGTGCTGGGGGTCCCATTCCGTGCCCTTCTTCAGCTTCCTGAAGGAAACGGACCCTGAAGGACTGAAGAGCTTGGTCAGATTCCCCCAGGAGGATGTGGACATCAGACATGAGGAATAGATAAAGCATTGTTGTCACCGTCTTGTCCTGTGGTGTCTCCCAACCTCCTCCTCACTTTCTTCTCAACCCTGAGCTCTCTGGCTCCAGCATCCCCACCAGAGCTCTGAGTGCCACCTCCAGGCATTCCTTGGATGTCTCCAGGGATGGGGACTCCAGCACCCCCCTGGGCAGCCTCTTCCAATGCCTGACCACGCTTTCTGTGAAGAAATTCTTCCTGATGTCCAACCTGAACCTTCCCTGGTACCTCTTGAGGCCATTTCCTCTCATCCTGTCCTTTGTTCCCTGGAGCAGAGCCTGACCCACCCCGGCTGCCCCCTCTTTTCAGGGAGTTGTGCAGAGCCAAAAGATCCCCCCGGAGCCTCCTTTTCTCCAGGCTGAGCCCCTTTCCCAGCTCCCTCAGCTGCTCCTGGTGCTCCAGACCCTTCTCCAGCTCCATTCCTTTCTCTGGACATGCTCCAGCCCCTCAATGTCTGTCTTGTCGTGCTCTGTTCTGCAGCTTTGGGAGGGAGATGCTCCTTTTGCACTTCCTGCATCTCCAGAGGGGTTTCTCCTGGAATTTAATCCTATTTTGGGTTCAGTTGGAGCCACAGAGTGGAAAATTCTGGGCAAAAATAACAACCCCTCTTATCTGCACATCTGTCCCCACCTCCACTTCCATCATCCATGGGAATCCCATCCTTCACATTGCTTTGCTGTTGTTGGAGCCACACGACCTCACCCAGGGCCAGCAGCTCCCTGGATTCATAATTCCGCTTGGAATTGTGTCTTCCAGCAATCCATTAATTCACCTTTTCCTCAGACATCCTCCAAAGCGGGGTAATCATGGAATATCCTGAGTTGGAAGGGATCCACAAAGATCATCAAAGTCCAGCTCCTGGTCCTGCAGGAGACAACCCCAACAATCCCACCCTGAGAGCTTTTTCCAAGCACTTCTGGAATTCTGTCAGGCTTGGTGCTGTAACACCACTTCCCTGGGGAGTTCCAGCGCTCCAAGACCCTCTGGATGAAGAACCTTCTCCTAAAATCCAGCCAGACCTTCCCTGACACATCTCCAGTTGTTCCCTCAGGTCCTGGGCACCAGAGAGAAGAAATCAATGCCTCCTCCTTCGCTTCCCCTCATGAAAAGCATTTGCAGCATTTGGGTCGAGCTGCTGAGGAGGCTTGGAGAGGTTTGTTGGGAAAACAGAGAATCCAGAGAGAGAAAATATTTGACAGAGATGTTTCCAGAGGCTGCAGAGAAACGAGGGCAAAAAGGGGCTGGAAAAATAAACAACGACAAGACAACAGAGGTTTTTCATTGCCAGATGTGCTCTGGGTGCCTCTCCTTTCTCCTAAACAACACTTTTTTGGAGGAATTTTGCTAATTTTGCTCTGGAAAAATCATGGGAGTGCTTTAACTCGAGTCAAAGCTCCCAAATCTGCAAAACATTCCTCAGCCAAGGGATGACGCTCTGTGTTGTGCTTCCAACCCAAGTCTGGTAAACAACGGGGACAAAAGGGGCTTTGAGCTGTGCTGAGCAGGGCTGTCTGGGGCTGCAGCCTGGGGCTGATAAGGTTAGAGGATTTCTTCCCAAATTCTGCAGAACAGGGAATTTTCAGGGATGTGTCTCTCCTTTATTAATCAGCTTCTGCTTTCCTTCACCCCCTCCTACAGCGTGAAGGAATTTTTTCCTCTTATTTACAGCACCATCTCTTTCCCACCCTCTTTGGGAATTTTTATTTCCCACCCTAAAGCGATTCAAGCTCCCTCCCTTCCCTCAACCCTAAGCTCTTAATTTACTCATCACACAATATTTCCTCATAAAAACAACAAAAAAACCTAAGAAAAAACAAAAAAGGGATTTGTGTGTTTTTTCTCCTGTGTGCCAGAATTTTTCCGCTTTCTGAAAGCACTGAGGAATCCCAGTTGGACAGACTCTAATAATTAATATTTCATTGGGTTGGATTTATTCTTCCTGCAGTTGTGGAGACAGAGGCTCCCCCAGCCTGCAGGAAAACACAGTCGGGAATTTTTATTTTTTTTTTTTCTGCTTTAAAGCAAAACTGGCTGAGTTTTTTTGCTTGATTTGCTGTGCCTTTGCTGCAGAAAAACTTCCTTGTATCTATGGATAATAGAAAGGGAAAATAAATCATCCTGGGCATGGCTGAAGAGCAAAGGGTTATTTTTTTTACAACATAAAAAATAAAGTAAAAAAGATGGGATAGGTTTAGATGGGATATTGGAAAGAAAATATTTATGGGCAAGGGAGTGAGGCTCTGGAATGGATTTCCCAGGGAAGCTGTGGCTGCTCCTGGATCCCTGGAAGTGTCCAAGGCCAGGTTGGATGGGGCTTGGAGCAGCCTGGGATAGTGGAAGGTGTTCCCAGGGCAGGGGGTGGCACTGGATGATCCTGAAGGTCCCTTCCAACCCGAAGCATTCCGTGATCCTGTAATTCCCACTGCAGCTCAAGGATATGGAAATCCCTCCTCCCGTAATGCCAATCAACCCTGGTGGCAATTACTCCTCTCCAAGACATCTGAGATGTGCAGGAAGGAGAGGAGGGTGTGATTCCCAACCAATAATTTTGGCAGGGAATTAGGGCCAATCCGGACCACAGAGAGATGGGAGTCATTAACACATGTAAGAGGCTGCCCAGAAAATGACCCTGAGCTGTGTCTACCCCTTGGATTGAGTTGTTTGGATGATCCTAAACAAAAAAGGGCTGTAAAAAACTTTTTCTCCTCACTCCAGACCGCCCTGAGCTTCCCTGACCCCATCCAAAAACTTGGACAGAGGTGAAGATGCTCCAGAGGCTCATCCTGGCGTTATTGCAGGGATTTGGGAATACCCAACCTGATGAACATGGGGACAGAGAGGAGGGGGAGATATTTTCCTCCAAGGCATGGAAAAATCTCCCTGGAGGAAGAATTCCCTGAGCATGGCACTGAGAGAGGCAGCACAAAGCAAACACAGCCCTTTCAGCAGCTGGATCACATGGAATTGAGATGGAGCAACAATTCCAAATGGAGTAATGAATGCCTGGATGCGGATAATAATCAGTTTAAATACCTCAGGGATGTGATGGATGGAGTTGTGACGTGGTCCTTCAGGTCCAGGACAGTTGTCACCTTTCATCTCTGCTATCAGAGCCACCAACAAGCCAAATCCCGTGGGGAAATTTATCCCTGTGCCAATCCATGTGTGTGGGCGAGGAGTGCTGGGAGGGAGAGGGAGAATGGGATAGAGCCATCAAACCTTGGAAAAGAGGGAGAGGAATTCCCAAGGCAGGGATCCAGGGGAGAGGAGACATCAGATGGTGACCAGTGGCCACCCCACTGTCCCCCTGCCACCCACACCAGGAGATGAGTGTTGGGCCAGGCAGGAAAACCCCAAACCTCCTCCCTAAAGCCCAGAGCTGTTTCCTAACTCTTTGTAGGGTTCAGGGAAGGGGGTGAGGTCCTCGTTTGGTTTGGGGGGTGACCAACATCGCTGGGGTTCCGGAGTGACCGGATGGATCACAGAAACCAGGGAATATGGAGAGGGGAGAAGTGACCTGGCTGTTCCCAGCAAGTACCAGGGATGGGAAAATGCATCTCTGGGCTTGTGACACTTTCCTGCTGGGAGTTTGGGTGGGAAAGGTGCAGTAAATTCAGCTTTGGGGGAAATTCCAGCTTTTTTGGGAAACCAGGAGTTTTCCAAACCAAAAGCTGGAAGCTGAAATCTCTGGAGCTGTTTGGGGTCAAGAGGGAATGAAGCAAAAGAAAAAAAAAAAGCAAAAATGTGCTTTAAAATTTTTTCATTCTCCTCTTTTTTTAACTTTTATCAGCATGAAACACATTGGATTTCCAGAATTCCAAACTGGAATAACTTTTGTGGATTCGTGTCCTGACCTTATCTAAATGCTGGATGGCTCAGTGTGCGTCTGCCCCCCAAACTGCAGATTTTGGGATAACTCCCCCTGCCAGGACTGCACCTCAGTGGCTCCATGGAGACCCCCAAATCTTTCCAGAGACCCTGGGCAAGTGAATCCGAAGGATCAACCCTTTCCATGCCCTGAATGAGTTGTTTTGAATTCCAGACTGAGTGAAGAAAATAAAACCATTAAAAAGAAAAAAAAAAAAAAAAAAAGGTGGCAAAACTATAAAAAGCCCACCAGCCTACGAGGCGGGATTTGATGAAAGTTGGCACTTTTCCATAAAATTTCCGAGTCTGGGGCACTAATGAATATTCTGAATTGCGGGAGGGGGAGACGCAACGATTAAAAAAAACCCAAAAAACAACAGTTTCTTAGGAAATTCTGGCTGCTTTCCAGCACGAAGAGCCAGACAAAGCCCACGAGAGGGAGCTGCTGCCTCTGTCCCGGACCATGGAATGGAGAGCCGCTGGTCCTGGAGCAATTTCCAGGGAAAAAAGCGAGCAGCCGTGTGAGGGATGAGCCGGCTGGGCTGGCAGCAGCCCAGGGAAGGATCCATCCAGGCTGTGGGTCCATCCTGCTGATTCCAGCCCAGCCGACAGCAGGTCCTGGCCGTTCTCCAGCGTCTGCTTGCTCCCACGCCGTTGGCAATCCGGGATGCACCTTGCTTTGGGATAATTCTGGAGCATCCTGTGCTAGAACAGGCGGCATTCCCATCCGAACCCCAAAGCCCTGCAAGGTTTTAATCCAGAGCTTGGGCAGCTTGGAAGGGGGTGAGACCCTCTGTGCCACTCTTGGAAATCCCCAAATTGGTGGGATGGGCCTGGCAGCATGAAGGGAACTTTGTTTTCCTGGCATCCGTGAAGTTTTGGGGAGTAAAGAGGGGATCAGATCGGATGGGGCTGAGCCTTTTTGCCTCATTCTGGGTGTTTTTTCCTGATTTTCCTATGCATTTCTTCTTTGCCGTGATTCCTTCCGCAGCTTCCTG